TGTCAGTCATATGCTTTAGTGTCTATGGATTTGGTTCTCCACTTCCAATATCCGGAATCCCAATTATATGCACAGAAAGACCGATATGCATATCTCAAACAGTAATTTCTAATAGTTGATAACTTCTAAAGAACTCAAACATGAATGTGCAATTAGATATTGATTTTGAAAAATGCAACATAGTTTCTTTGCAAAAGAGTGACATTACATGAAAATAGAAAATCGTACTGGACAGGGTTATCCATTAGCGGTGGGTTTTAACTGTTTCCCAAGTAGCCCTACGAGTAGTAGTGTGGTGCTGTGGTGCGAACTACTTATAAGTAGTACATAACGTGAGTGTCAACGTAAAGTCTGGTAGCATAATATGGGGGGAAGATCAAGAAAGGAAGAGTTAGAAAACAATGGAATTTGTATGAAACGCATGAATAGTGACAATGGATTGATGTTTGGCAACAGGAACAGTCCAGTTCCCTAGGATGAACTGATCTTTTGCAAATGAACGATTTACGATATGGTTTTCCGATTTTACTGAGTAACTCTGTAATTTTCGCTAAATACGATTCGGTTGTCACACCTGTGTTCTCATTCACTACAGTAGTACTAGTAGTAATAGTTGTTGTTGTTCTTATGATAAACTGTCCACATTGTTACTTATACCACCAAATAAAATTCTTTGGGCAAACGAAATACTACTACTAATACTACATATTTACTGACACTGCTGTTTCAACGAATTCGTGTCATTTAATCAGTCACTAATACTATACCCTATTCATTTGATTTGAAAGTCCAAGTGTAATATAAAAGCAACTTTTAAAGCTTATTATTTATGTCCATCGTATTTAGTTAGTGAACGTAATAAGAATAAAAACATGTTTCAGACAATATTAACAGATTTACTATCAATAACCAATACATTAGGCAGACAAACTGGTCGACTTGATATATTATTAAATTATATAGGTATAGACACATTAGAATTTATTTAGATAAAATTTCAGACACTTGAGATAAATTATTTAATTAAATCATATGAAAATGCTTAACCCTGGAGGTAATACTATCTCGATATTGGTTTGAGAAGTTTTCTCATCACCATATCACTAAAAATCTGTTTTTCTCCATTTTCGTTTAGTAAGCTTTAAGGACTAGTTTAATATGAGTGTGTATAACAGCAGCATCATACTACAAATGAAATGAAGCTAAAAATTTCAGCTTAATGGTCTAAAAGTATTGTGATTGCTGTAAGACCATTAGACCAACTGTTTTATGCTTGGTGAAGTGTTGAGTGAATACTACCTAGAATATCGTAATCGGGACAAATATAGCAGCTAAATATTGGCTAGATCTCATCTTTTATATTTTCCATAAATAATACGAAATACCACCTTGTTAGCTATGTGAACAAAAGTTGGTTAAGGGAAGCTACGAGAGAATATTAACCAACAGAACATACTCTCAAACAAGCTTCATATCATTACTAAACTTATATCATTAAAGTTGGACATTATTGAAAGAATCGTTAAGTATGATATACTTCTATCTCGAAGTCGTAAAATCTCTTAGTAGTAAGCAGATTTATTTTGTTGGACTGAGTTCAGTTAATCACACTATCAATGATGTTTTATGATCTGGATATTAATATCTAACAGTAAACATTACAGTTATAACCACGAGTAATATTATTCTTGGTTTACAATAAAAAGTGTACTGTACAAAGTGTACTGTATTCTAATTGTAATATTGCTCTCATCTAGGCTAAGTTTTTAAGTAGTTATTTCTGATAAAAGTATTTATTGTTGGCAGATGATTTATTTTCAATCAAAGTGCTATATGACGGAACAAATGCTTTCATAATATTTCAGTGTACATTGAAATGGACAGTTTATCTAAATTTTTGATTCCAATCACGAAAACAAATTTTATCACTTAAAATGTTAGTAATTTCAAAAATACTGTTTGAGACAAGTAAATCGGATTTTTAAGAAAAAAATACAAGATCATAAGTGAACAGTATTGATATGTTTACAAATAATACGGATAAATGTCAAGTATCATCAAATCTCCAGCGGTTGTTGATATTTAACCAAACAAATTTTGCAAAGAAATCAATTGTGAACTTGTTCACCAACCTTAAATGCAACTAAAGATGATGTAACGTGAAAGCGAGTGACCATTTTTACTTTAAAATAAAGGTCAGTACAATCTAATACCGAACGAGTTGGAAGGTGAAACCTATAGGTAAATCGAATGTTTGATTAAAACTGTTGGGGATGTTAGATCCCCAATACTCGCTTGACTAATGCCTTAAATTTGGATTTCACGTTTGCAAGCATGGGCTGATCAGTTGACCTTGAGGTTTCATTTCCCACCAGGAAAATCCATGGCTGTGATTGGCTGCTGTGTATTTTAGTGTGCTATTTTCGTAACTGTCCCAAGGACGTTTCTATGACGTATAAATAAACGAGAGTTGAGTGCTTTATTGTATTGTGATTGCTGAGTGTTTTTAGAATATACTTTCTACGCTTACAAAGCTTTCTATCTTCAGCTTGGGATTCAGGGTAGCCTATCTGGACGCTGGTAACTGTCTCGTTCGCTTTTATCGACTAAGGTGAACTCGTAATAGCTTCAAGCGCACCTAGTGACGAACCCTACAAAAACCACTCAAAAATCATATACAAACTTATTTTATGCCTCAGTATGCTTACAAATAGCATATTACTGCCTGTTTACTTATAAAAGTACAAGATTAGCACACATATGCAGAGAATTTGCTTAAATATTTCAGAAATGGACATTAATAGGTAAATCTTCATCTGAAAAATTTCCGTTATTTATATGATAATAAAAGGATATGGTTATTTATTATACTAAACTCTTTTAAACGACAATTTTTCATGTCAAGCAATGGTTGGTGTAACTATATATTATCAACAAAAGGTGGACAGATTAAGTGTTTATGCTAATGTCACTTTGATAAGATTTAAATGACTTCTAATTTATTGTCTAGTATTCATCAGAAAGAAAATAAATCAATATTGATTCCAGTGTCAGAATAGTGAATCCATTTTTTTTCAAACTGTGGAAAATGAAAGATTTATCAGTACTTGATAATAATAATAATAATCATAATAAGGCATAAATCAAATTTTTATCAAATATAGTAAGGCAATAAAAATTCTTAAACTGACAGTTGTTGGTGGATTTATTGCGACCAAACGTTATTAAAGATATTTTGTGAATTATATAATTGAAAACTCTTATCTAATCCTTTTTGATTAATTAGTTGAAATTGTTTAGTTCATATTGTAGAAATGTTTTGTCCTAAATGATAAACTGATTATTTGTGTATCTTGTATAAAATTTTGTTTAGTCGATGGTAATTATGAGAAGTACTTAGGTCTATACCATGGTGGTTTAATCATTGAATGAGATGAGACTTGATTATGAAACTAGTTAACCCTTGTTTGCTCTATTTGAAATTATCACGAATGAACCACTTATTCTATGTAATTGGAACTACCTCATACTATGGAGTAACCTTCAGTAAATATCTGGCTTCTGACCAAATGAAATTCATCTAAAATGACTTTATGCAATAATTAATTAATTTGGTTGACTCTGTGACTTTTTGGGGTTAGAATTTAAAGCGAAGATTTTGATTTTGATTTGATTCTTTATTATTGTGTGTATGCATGTGTACGTATGTTTATACTGGTAGTACTCTTCCTAAATGAAGCTCAAACACATGATATCTTATAGCGCATGAAGAAACAGTATGTGATCGGTTCAGAAATTAGCCATTCAAACAATTTGCTGATGCGTAACTAATACTTCCTACGTTGTTCCAAATCAGTATTTAATTGTTACAACCAGTCATCATCTGAATTTCATCAAAAATTGACCATATGACAAGTCCAAATGGTAGTAAGTTTTGTATTTGAGGCTACATAGATGTATGCACCTAGTGAAACCTTATAAATAAAGTTTTTTCTTATTTCCAGAACTCCTAAACTAGATAATTTTCTAATTTCTAGAATGTGAATACTTCTCCTTGAGGAATATAAACTTGCCTTAATTCAGTAGTTGAAGAAAGTAGAAATGAGCTATCTGATGTCTGTAGAATAAATGTGTTTATTTGGTGTGTGTATATACAAGTTTATAGATATTTGTAATACAGCTTTGAGAACGGATTTATGAAAACTCGACATATTTGTCTACGCTCGAATTCTGTTTTATACATCAAATGAAAATAAATAATGCTTAACTGATCTTTTGAAGATCTGTTGTTTGGTTATCGATAAACGGATACAATACAATTAAGCTTCAGGTTGCATAAGTCATATATATTATTTGTTCCATAAAATTAATGTAGCTTGAGCTCGTGAATTTCGTCACTGAATGATTCAAAGTAATCGAATTATGAATTGCCTATGAATGTTGTTATTTTGCACAAATGGATTGTTGCAAAAGAATCCTCAATGGCTTATTCGACATTCTTTCGATCAATTAAATTAAGCTTTTTGTACAACTTGAAATCTATCACTGAATTATATATGTTATTTTATTTAGCCTTGAATCAATGAAGACATTAGATAATTAACTGTCTATTTCTCTTTTTATACTCTATTTTTAATGAGTTATGACTTTGCAAATAAATGGTATTTTTTAGTATGTTATTCGATGTATCTAACTTGTTTTTTTATTCACATTATAAAACACAAATATACTAATAGGTATGATTTTTTCGTAGTTTAATATTTTGTTAAAATTCGATTTAACTAGTTTTATTCGAAGTGACACTATGCCATAAATGCGCGCCTGAACATACCTGTAGTCTTTCAGTGTTCAGTTTGTCAAAAATGAACATGTAATAGATTTGTCAATAAATCTCTTATTATTAAAGATATAAATGCAATTGAGATGCAAAATATGCTGTTTTATTTTGCAAGATTAAGTAAAGTATATTGCTATATACATTTTATTTTATTTTCTATAAGTGAAAAATGAACCTTCTCATCATTGGGCAAACCAAACAATCTGTTCAAATTCATCAAGAAGTAATTATAATGTAGATTCTTCGGGACATGGTAAATTGTTGAGTAATATCAGTGACAATTTACCAAACATACATCCTAATTCAGAATTACTATCTAAATCTATCATAAGTAATAAGAACAATAATAATTATGATGCTAATTTTGTCAATATGCAACACTCTTTAAATAATTCAATTATCTCACCTGAAGAATCTAATTCACCTAGAAGTGTTTATCAATTTACAGCATCACCATCATCATCATTGCCGAGTCAAGTAACGAAAACATCGCCGATCATCGCAAAGACAAGGACAATTGATTACAAACAATATGGATGCAATACACAAGAAACAAGCTATAGATTTAACCAATTGGTATGTTATTGTTGGGTTTGTTTTCCTATTTTTAATCTTTTATCTTTTCCTTATATGAAAATAGTAGTGATCATTTCATATAAAATCATATCATAAAAATAGATATGAGTAAAATAAGTGAGCCAGTCACTTGACGCACGATTGTAGTTTTAATTGTTTTTTCAAGTGGTCCCAAATGTTATTGTAATAGGCGGTTGACGGCATCTATGCAACTGAATCCAACTGTGAATGAATTTGAAAATATGATAATCGAACTTGTAAATCTAACTTCTCTATCGCTAACTTGATTCAAAGTTACTCACCTAATTACGTACACTTTTTACATCTGATGGAGTATAGGCCACTAGCTATCGTTCTTCAATGAACACTGTCCTGAGCCTTCTTTCCCAGTTCTTTCCAATTTCTATTCATTCTTTTCATGTCTTCCTTCACTTCTCGTCATAATGTGTTCCCTGGTCAACCTCTTTTCCTTTGACCTTGAGAATTTCAAGTTATAGCTTGACTTGTGATGTACGTAATGTTAATAATAATTCTAAAATACTATAATGAATTAGAGTTTCCTTTAGCTTTAAATCACAATGTTATGAAGTAGTTTAATTGGTCGCCAAAGTTGCAATCCTGACACATCATAGATAAAGCGAACTCTCATGTTATGTATGAAGTTATTTGAGGAATAGGAAAAGCTTTCATGCCATCTCTGTTCATAAAACTATTAGATTACTACTAAGGAGGAAATAAAAAAATTAAAAAAAATCTGTGTCAAAGAAGCTGCTTGTTTATTGAACTATGATTTCAACAATAAGCAAATCGCTAATATTTAGGGATGATTTTCAACTTTAAATGGATAATAATCGAATAATTGAACATTCCAAACTATTAAGTTGATCAATATTTTTTCAATGGTTTCGAAACTTCCTAGTTCGCCAAGACCTTAAATTAACTTGTGTTCTCTCACTTAAAATTTGCTGTATATCCAAAACGAATGTTACATGTATCACGATTTCGTTACGGGTATTCCTGATTAATAAACACTAAAGTATTGAATAACCTGTTTGAACGTAGTTAGCATTGAAAGTGTTTGCAACACCAACAGATTCGCTAACTCATGTATATGATTCACAACACATCTTTGTAATTCATGTGAATGTCTAAAGAACTGCTATTAATTAAGACTAGTGCATAAACTATACGCATATAAAGAGAAGACGGTGCTCAGTTATATACTAATAATAACGGTTATTAAGAAGGCCATCAGGAACATTTTAGCAGTCCCAGTATGAATGAAATTTTCCTATGATAATTAATGATTGGAGAATTACATGAAGTATTCAAGAACGAGGTAACTTTCGAAGGTCCTTAGTAACTAGCTTACAATCTTCAAAAGTTCATAATTTGTAGTTTTATCTGGGGTGATTCAATCATAGGTCACGGTAGATAGAGGAAGAATATACCCCTTTTGAATACATAAACTAGAATCCTTTTAGCTGATCACAAACGCTTTAGGTATTTAGAGAAGTCATATTGTGGTTTAGTTACGCAGGCTGTTTAGGAGTTCATATAAAATCGAGATGGTTTCATCAATTTTATTGTGGTGTTTATTTACCAGTTCAGAAAGGATGGCTCTATTAATAGTTTTCGTGACTCTGATTTTAGACCATACCTGAATGTGGTCATGGACACTGATGGATAAGTCCCTCTAAATATGACCTATTTAAGTAACTCCACGTTAAGATATCACTCGCTATGTTTCCTTCAAAATTAGGTCTTACCAAAAACGTTTTCTTACTCACAGTTTTGGTTTTGTACCTTTTTGGCATTTCAATAAGCATTTTTGAACTAAATTGGCTATCCTCAATTTTGTGGTGTGTTATTTAAGTTTATTTATTATGTTCACTGATCCAATCTCGTTTACTCAACTAACAAACAGATTGATCATTCTTCATACTAACAGTTAAGCCTGTTAACATTAACTGCAACGGCAAAACAGCTATCAACATTGCTATAGAGACACCAATTTAAACAAAATAACCATGCTATAATCTGTCAAACTTGATAATAACACATGTTACAATGTATCAAATCTTTGGTTTCAATTTAATAACTTTTTGAAAAATGTGGATTATTATTTTTAAAAAGAAGAAATTTTGCACAATTCATTTGTTATTTATCAAAAGCTTGATTTATTGAATTTCACATATATTCATTAATTAATTAGTTAATTAATTAATTAATTAACAATATTAACAAGAAACACACATATATAATAGACAAGATATGAAACAAAATATATAGTGTAAGAAGAAATTTGTTGGGAATTCATTGAGAATCAATATGTTGCCTTTGTTTGTATCATTTGAAACAAAGCCATAAAAGCAGTTGTAACTTCTTTTTATTTCATTTTAACTGATTGCAATCTTGTTCAAACTCTTGTCTACTTTACAGTCAGTCACACACTTCAACTTGTCCGTTTGTGTATAGTTAAAGTGTATGTTTGTTTGTAAAACAAAAGGTATGATAGAGAAAAAAACAAGCTAACCCATAATATGATTTATTTTATTTTTCGAAATTTTTAATTGAATTGAATCATAACAAAAGTTATTTATATTTATGGAAAAGAAAATTAAATACTAATTTATATTATCTCATATAACTTTATTAGTTATATGGATTGAAGCATATGAGAATTTGTTTTCAATTGAAATCTGCCTTGAAGATAATTATGAACACCGAAAATAATATTACTCGAAAAAATAGTGAAAGCAAGAAAGCTCTGAAAAGTTGTTTTATCTTAATTTGGAGCTTCTGCATATTTGAAAGTTGCTACCGCACATGAAATTTAGTCTATGGCCCTTATGCTTTGCTGGGAGTTGGGTAATGTTCCATAGCTCTCAAGTCAAGAGTTTCAACTTAGCCTGAACCTTCTCGTAACGAAAGGTTAGAGAATTAGGGTGATATGGCTCAAAATCATCAGCAGGGATGAAGTGCATTCACTCTCTAACTTGCCTTAGTTCCTTAATCCAGAAGTCTCCTTATATCTTTTTAAATACTGTCTGTCTCTGCTAACGTGGTGTGACAACTTAAACGTGTCAAGTTCTACGTTGTTTATGACTGTATAACTGAGCCGGTAACCATTGGGTTATTTGGATGACCTTCACTAAGTTGGAGAAAGTAATATATTAGTGAACATCAAACAGTTTGAAGTAATGAATTTTTGTTCGTTGGAAAGAAAGGAGAAGTCTATCGGTTTCGGACTCCATTCACACTGAACCATCATCAAAAAAGTAAATTTTAGAGTAAATAGAATTTATTTGTTGGATATCCTCAAATGTAAGAACAGAAAATAAACTATATATCAAAAGGAATTGTACTTATAAAATATTTAAAAGCGCTCTCCATAGAGTATTATTTAAATAAGAGACTCAATAATAAATGTAACTTTAAAGAAAAGTAACACACTTGACTTTGAAGTAGGCAGTTTCAAGTCAGAATTTCTGTTTACACGTAAAACCTTATCTCGATGTTTTCTACACCAGGAATCTCTCTATAATGTAACTAACGTTCTATTTGCAAATAGATTTCTGGTTACTTAGAAAAACTAACGAATTACACAGTAGTAAAGCGTACCTTGAAAATTTAAAGTCAAAATAGAGCTTTTCATTAGCTTAAATTAAAAAAGCCTTCAGTTTTCTGTTGAATACAAACAAAACGTTAACGTTTTAACAGCTTAAAATGCATCAGAATTTCTATTAACTGTGCATAAATATTATCTATTTCTAGTTTCAATCAATTTTCGTCTCATAATATTAAACAACCTAATACATTGTCATCTCGCATAAAAATTGTTTTAACAAACAGAATTTTATCTTGAAACGTTTCAGTTTGTTATTCATCTCATTTCCATCCATAATCATCACATCAAGTCACGTAAATTGTCTACGTGACTTTTCAATGCAACTTTTTTTTCTTCAATATTTATTATATTCAAAACCATAAATTTATCTATGCTATTTACCCAAGTAATTTTTGATTTTAAATAGTTTATAGTTGAATTATCTAAACAAGTGATTTATTTGTGTTATAAGGGGTTTATTCATTGTTGTGAAGAAACTGTTTCCAGTCAATTTGTACAACAAAATGTATATCAATACATATAGTCAATTTTTTCACAGAATGGAATACAACATTTAATATACACCATAATATCCTGTACACATAACATTAGTAATATTATAAAGCATCATAGATAATCACAAATAGTTTGGAAATATCAATAATTCTGTTGATATTATTTTTTTTCTAATTAAATTTAAAAACTGATATACTTTGTAAAATGGATTTGAAATTTTTGTAAATAAATAAGAAAGCAATTTCATTAACATGTGATTAGATTTATCGGAAAAAAAATTATTTAATCTTATAAACAATAAGAGTCTTTCGAGTGATGCGCGAATTTTATCAATAACAAAGTCTGAACAGCTGGTAATGATAACTATTTGCATTAGTAACTAGAGATCAATAAGTTAGTTTTCAGAAAATTAATTTTATATCATAAATGAAAATTAATTAAAGTTTTAAAATAATTTGGAAAGTGTAACAAACTTAATCAACGCTCATCTCGATTACCGGAGAGAAAAAATGTGTCATACCGAATACATATTTTACTCACTTTCTCTTTAGGCTTTACAGGTACAAATGTAATAGGCATAACAATTTTCCTAACAGATTTATGTGCACAAAAAATCCTTAATTTATTTCTGTTGCCTCTGATCTCCTCTAAATAATTCAAAGATAGTGTCGACTCTAGGTTAATATTACTATTAGTATCAGATTTTGTGCACGAAGTCCTTGTATTTGATTTTGTATGAGCTAGTAATTGTGCACTATTTAAGACTCCATAAATAAGAAGAAACTGGTACATGGTACTTTCTAGCATTGGTGTTTCTCCAGATAGATCCATATATACCTTGTCCACAAGTTCCGCGAAAAATATTTAAACCATAGTTATCTCTCCATGTTTATGAATGGTTATTTATAAGCTTATAATTTGACATTATTCTGGCAACGAACCTATAGATTTCCAATGATAATAATTATCAAACAATCATGGGTAATTTGATAGAAATTGTACTTTATATATTGATGTATTTTTTTATAACAATGAAGTGGATTCTTCGAATCACCTAAAAAATCCATTCAAAGCTTATACTCATTTCGAGCATCGTTCTACGAATTGAAAGTTAAATATATTTTTTCTATTTATTTATTATAACAAAATAAATATACAGTTCTGATTCTCTAATTAGGAAGAGAAACTGACAATAAACACTATATCACACTTGAAATAATTAATGACATCATTTTAACGATTTATGAATTAAATCGTTAGCTTATGTGCGTAATTACAATATCGATTTGTTAAGGTTCAGAGGGAATTCATTTTATAGAGTAGTAGATTTCTGTTTCATTGTTCAATATTGTATGTCTTCAATTATTAATGAACTGCTAGCAGTTCTTCAGTGGGTGAATGCCAGTTATTTTCTGCTTTCAGCGTTAAAGTGACAAAGACTGATACCAATGTTCATGCTCCACCTAAATCAACAAGTTTATCGATTAATTAACGAAAAACTTTGACTACTCTTTACAGTTAATGCAATCAAATTCAATTTTATCATGTCTAATTTAAGTTAAATAAATAAATGTTTTCTTTATGAAATTTAAAATTTCATTTCTTAACTGACTTGTAGAATTCTACAGAAAATCGAGCTAATCATGATGGGACTAATGTACCAATGGCTTTCAAAAAAGCAAATGAACATAATATCTCTATGGATAAATTTGGTAAGTTATATAAAATTAATAATAACTAATATTGATTTTTAAATTAGATACTGTTACATTTTGAGTGATAATGATTATAAAAGTTATTTAAAAGCAATTTTTATGATAATTTGAAATCACTGAAATAAATATTGAACATAAAATATTATTGAACAGTTGTTCCCTTCTAATTTAAAGCTCCAAAACAATGAACATCTTAAAATCCATCCCTACACTATCGGACCCATTACCTATGAGTCCATAAACGATCATGACAATATTGAATCACTTGAATAGTTCATACTTTCGACACCACTATATATGTGAAATACAGTGTATTGAGAGTTCACAGTCATCAGTGAATTGTCGCTTGCACCCCCGACTTGCTTGTATACATGGTTAATACTTATGCAATAAAAGCTTTGAAATTTCATCCTCAGCGTGCGATTATTATCCGTTGTATTGATAGAGAACTGCTCTAACTTTTGATATTTTCTATGGGCCTGTTTAATTCTTTAAATTAACACTATAATATAAATATTTGTTGACCTTCATTTAACATTATTATGCTTATTCTTAATAATATTCAACTCTAATAAATCTTCACTAATACATCACTTTATCAGATCATCTATTAAAACATTTCTCAGTACGAACTCAACGGATCGATTAAATAAACTTATTTAAGAACCTTGGGTCAAAGTAGATCATATCAGAATTTTCCTCTCTAATGAATATTTTTAAATGGATCTAGAACAAACCGCAGTTCAGTGGAAAGATCTAGCTTTTCTCTCATTCAAGATGCCTTAGCACTTTAGTTTTGGCAACTACATCTGGATATATTTTTTGATCAAACCAGTCATATCTTATGAATAAAATATTTCATCCACTCTACAATGCATAATTAGCCTTGACAAATAATATTTAATATATGATAGAAAACAATCTTTGATACAATAAAAGAAAAATGATAAAACATTGTTAATCGGACATGTATCAAGTTGATGATATCCATTGAACTATCTGATAACAACAAAATCTTGATAATCTTCCATTTATCAACAGTGCGATGACATATCAGTTGGATTCATTTATTCTTTTTGTAAATAAATTTTGTCAGTCTGGAATGATCTACTTTTCTTTTAATCTCTTGTAATCATTTATGTCATTTCATGTTCCTACGAGAATATTATGCACCATATCACCATTTTTTGTTGTTGATTTATTAGCCTATTTAATAATGTACAGTTATTCATCTACAAACATATATATATGTCCATATTACAATCATGAATATTCTACAAACATAATGACAAGATAAGATATTTATTTGTTCTACATCAATCTTAGTCAGTATAATTGTTACAGTGACTTTTAGAAATAAAATAAAAAAAATAAGTGAAGTGTACAAAGTAAACGATTATAAGATAATCAGAAGTAAAGGACAAAAGGAAAAAAACAATAAGTAAAGATAGTTTCTTTTTATTTTCTTTCAAAAAGATAAACATAAATTTATTGTTCTTTCTCAAGGGATGATAAACATTTTTAATAGGCATTTTGTGCAAGTCATTTCACTAGTATTAATGCTAATGTTGTGATAAATGAAAGTTGGGGTAACATATAACTGTTCATATACAGAATAGATAGTTGATTATAATAAACCTAAGAATTATTATACAATAAAGAAATCTTCATTACACTGAAGCACTGATTTTACTCAATGTGACTGAAACTGACAGGTTCTTAAGCTTTCAGCTGTATTGTTTATTGTAACAGCGACTTGATAAAAAAACACAGTTTATTTATAACTGAAAAAACCGGATTTGTGATAATTTGAACTGAAAAATTAGTTACATATTGTAGGATCCAAACTGAGGTTTGGACTGGGAAATAACTGTCCAGGTAGTTAAGATATACGCCTTGCCCAGCTGAAATCTAAAAACAATTGATTTGGGTGAATGAAGGTTCTAATATTCATCGTAAATATGAATATACATCATTACATAAATCAATATTACCACCTAGTATTTCCTTCAACAATTTTTCAATCAATCAAATCAACAGCACAAATAAATGTTATTCTATCCCTCTTGGATAGTTCAGATCCGTTCGACAGATAATATTTGGTTGCTTTATAACACAGAGTGTTTCCAATTCTGGAAGAGTGCTTCAATTCACAATCAAAATGCGCGATTCCAGTGAAACCAAGCAATCCAATCAAAAAAGGAACAAATCAGTATGGCTGTCTCCATGACTAAGTATCAGCTTAAACAGCATAATGCAGTTCAGAAAGAAACATAGAAACTCAGTAAAGGCGTAAAAATAGAAACTATACTAAAATACAAATATTGTAATCTTAAAATGGAGGTGAACAGATTAACAAAATGTAGAAATGAAGGAATCCATAAGGACAAATTAAAAATGTATATATGGAGGGATTTTCACAAACAAAGCCTTCAAAAATAGATCTTACACGTATGGAACCACACAGTTAGACTTAAAACTGAGACTTGTAAATTAGCTCCTTCCCTGGTTGTAGTGGTTTTGTTTCTTCCAAAATACTCGTTGAACATTGTTATGTTCTGTTGGTTTTATATCTTTCTCGATGCCGTTCTATTACTTATACTTGAAAACGAGGAACCAATAAAGTGCGCTGACTGTAAGACTGAGTTTTATAAAACTGAAGAAGTATTAGCTAGTCAGTTGAACAATATAACCAGTCTTATATGCAAAATACACTAGTAATCAAGCTATCATAAATGACCTCAGTTAATCAAACCCACCAAAACTTAGATTCCAGAAAGCCATCAATAATCCTTTTCATGTGTAATCATTAGTATTACTAACGAAATGTGACATTACACACTGACGTAAAATAAAAACCATTCATGTAATGGAAACATTTTGAAATCTTCAACAAGCTCATAAAAATTAACATCTTATCCTCTACAATACAATTTATTTCAATTCGTCAATATGAGATTTAGCTATTTATGTAAGGAGTATTTTATGAACATAATTGAATAAGCAATATGATTAATTCATGTAAGCTTAAACATACGACTGTCATGAGTTTATTCATTATCAGTAAATATCTCTATATCAAAACATAATGTCTACCCTTCATATTTGCTACTCTTATTATTATTATTATTATTATTATTATTATTATTATTAATGTTTTATCTTTGTTTTAGATGATTATCAAACATTGGATTATTTAGGTTTGGTTAGTCCTACAATATTAAATAAACAGTCAATTTATCAAAAAAATCTTGGACTAGTTACATACAGTCCACATGTTATGAATATGCCTAAATTAATATCATTACCATCTGGAGGATTAACCACATTCAATCATCACAATACCATCAATACATCGATTCATTATAATCCTAGTTTGGATAATTCTTCCTATCAGATAACTCATTTTCATACTCAATCACAACCACAGCCTATGAGTAACAGGTATACAACAATGCCAACATTTTCAACTAGTAATCAAACAATTGGTGATTTAAATTCAACATTTATTTCTGCTTGCGATCCACATCTGAACAATGTGACTACATATAGTAAAAATGAGAACAATAAACACAATAGTATAATGTTACCTTATCTGGTAATGACTACAAGCCACGTCAATTTAAATAATTTACATTATCCTAGCAAAATTGCTAAATATCCAGTACAGTCACATACATACTATGATATTAGACAACCTGATTTTAAGTCCAACAAGCCAGTGATGTTTAAATCAAAATCTCAACAATTATCAACTGTTAATAAATACTTCATACCGAACAATAATAATAATAATAAAATTAAAGATGATAGTTTAATGGGATCTTCAAAAATTTGTAAAAATGAGAAACATTTTTCACCTACAATAGAAAATATTGACGAACCTAGTATTGATAATATTGATGATCAATCTTTTGTAGAAACAGATATTTCAATGTTGAAGAAAGATACAAATAGTTGGACACCTGATGAGTCAAATATACCGTTGGAGAAATGGGTGAAATTATCAGAGCAAAAATCTCAAAGTCGTAATGACAATTCTTTTACCGCTATTGTTCCTCACAGTATCAAGAGTAATAATACCGTTGACAGTATGATCATCAATGTAACACATCCTTCTGATAAAAATATTAAAAGCCAACCAAAATTGGTTGATTCTGGAAAGTATATGTCAGCTGCTTTAAGAGAATCTAGTTTTGTATAGAACAATATTTATTTTTTTCCCAATGTAAATTCACATGAATCTATCTAATCTACATACAAATGTTCACTCTGAAATTGCATTACACTTTGAGAAATGCATGATGAAATTAACTGAGGGTTTCTTTTTCACAAATTAAATAGTTATCTGTTTATTTCATGGATTATAACCGCTGAAATCATCAACATCTAAGAATGTGCAGTTTTTTTTTGTTTTTAGGTTATTTTTGTTGACTTTTTATTCTTTAATGGTTTATTATGAATCTACTTAGTCAATGTAAATAATAATGAATGATATTCCAATAAAATTTTTGAAAAGTAATTCTATTGATTTATAATTTGACAGGATAGTTTACTGACGCCGGTTACATGTCTTCTAAAGCTTAGACTTTGGTTTATTTTGACTCTATGCATGGCTGATGTTAATTTACAACTAGCACTAACTAGAGGTCATCCAGGTAACTTAAAACGAGACAAAGCGTACACACATACATGCATACAATTAAGTGAATTCAACATTTTCACTTTCTTGTTTATTGATGTGTTTTTTTTGGAATGTATATAAGATTAGTCATTATTAGTGATGATATTTTCTAATGATCAAATATCTGTCATACAAACTGTTCGCGAATAGGATGAATTAACAGTGTACAATGTATGATTTTCAATTTTCATATGACGTTCAAGAAAAGGCACCAATCTATTTCTAAATGTAAAAAAATTCAAATCAACAAGTATCTGAGACAAGTCACCATCGCATCTTACTGTTTTTGGGATATTTTGTATGTAAAAAACTAATGAATACACATTTTTACACATTTTTAAAACACCAGTTTTAAAAAGATGATGAATTCATAATTGGATTCCGTAAAACTTCTGTTTCCGTACAGTTACACCTGTACTGTCAACCCAGGACTAATGAATAGAAGGATACTTCAAACGAAAAAGCAGTGCTACAGACATTCCTAATATTGTTCCTTGTTGTTGACTAACATTTATTTAACACCATTGGATGCCGGCCCAGTGGTCCGATGGTTAGGCGTTCGCGCACAATAGCGAAGGTCCTGGGTTCGAATCTTGCGAGGTGCAGGGGTCGTGGATGCGCACTGCTGATGAGTCCCATACCAGGACAAAACGGCCGTCCAGTGCCTCCAGGTTTATAATGGTGGTCTAACAACGGTTGATGTATGCTTTTAAATGTGTAAGAACACAAATCTCCAAAACTCTAACCGAAAATTTATTTATGCTGCAAACATCTGTTATTCTAAGCTCTAATTCACCATTAGAAAATAAACAGCAATATAACTTAAGCTTCTTAAAAATTCATGATGTACCTTATAAAATGTAAATGTGTAGATATTATGGTTTTTCACACGGTCTTTCAACAGAAGAATAGACATGTCAACTGAAACGTCTCATTCTTGCCGCCTACCTGTTAGAAGCCCTTTCTTAATTAGATAAGAAGAAGATATTTGGAAAAGCCTACTAAATCTAAAATCACTGTGAAATATTTTTTTGAAGGCTCCATGAAAAAACAAAAAGTTTCCTAGCATCACATCTGACCCCTTTAATCTTATATGAGTTTATAAGGCTATACAAATAAAACGTAGTCGGCCCCTGCAATAGGCTGTGAGTTAATTCTGACTAGTGATTTCATTGATAATTAACTTAGATTGGTAATTGTTTAACATCTTTTTTTACATTTCATATTCTTAAGAGTCATTGTTTTTCAAACTTCAAATATAGACTTATTAAGTTAAGATTTGATTCTATATGATCTTGTATAGTAAACAGAATCATCTAGCTATAGCATTAGTAACTCTTTATTATTAAAGTGATATTGTTTCATTCTAAATCTGCTTTCTGCATATAAACTACTCTGCAAGTGAATTTTCGAGACTCCATAACCGATCCATGAAATACAACCATTAACATCGTTTGTACGCTACATCAGTGATTATCTCTTCTTTGATCGATCACTGATTAGTGTCTTACATGCCTTAGTGCATATCAGATTCTATCGACCCGACATTACAATAAAAAAAAACTACTTCTTAGTTAAAATTCAAGATCAGAGGCTGTACATCAACAATTTTTATTCGAAACATACCAGCTAGTTATCAGTTAAAAACAATGTTACTGATTCTTTATCAGTTCTAAATAAATCTAACATACGCTAGAAGACATGTAAAATAGTAGTTTCTAAAAAGATTTAACTTACACTTTTGAAGATACGTTTTACAGTCAAAAAGGGAGGACATGTCATGTTGACTGATCGCTGAATAGTAATCAACGTCGTGCAGTTTCAATACTTGGTACTGATCGAATTTTATCTATTAAACTGCTCAGTAGCCATTATTGAGTGTGACCTGACATCATATGTTCTATGTGTTGAAATGAGATGACACTAGTGTAGTGAAGGAGAACACAGGTGAAGGCAACCGAATAGTATTTATTGCAACTTGCAGAGTTGATTGGTAAAATAGGAAAACCATATCGTAAACCGTTAATTTGCAAAACATCAATCCATTGTCTGACATTTCACTGTTCATGCGTTTCATACAAATCCTATTGTGTTCCCACTCTTCTTTTCTTGATCTTCCCCCATCTTCTGCTGCCAGACATTACGTTTTCACTCGCGTCATATACTACTTATAAGTAGCGCGCACCACACTAGGTGACACTGGTTTGAATCATACGGGAAGCACACTGTCCCTTCAAGATAACAGACACACCTAGCTAATAAATGCTATCTCGCAGCGCACATAGCTCCAAAACTTCCTGGTTATAACGACAGAAACGACAACTTGTTAGTCATCACATAATTCGAAAAAGAACATTTAAATTCATGGATTGCCTAGTAACCACTGTAACTTGTTTATATTAATTATTAGGATAGACGGGGAATACAATGTAAGCTCTACGCATAAAGTGTCTTTTAAATAGCCAATACAGTAGTCATATGACATGTTCATTAATTCACAATCTGTTATTATTACTTATGACAGTGTCTTTGTAAAGCATTTCTGTATGACAGTGATGTGAATATTTGTTTAAAGAATTTTGAAACTTATAAAAAATATACAAGAAATGGTTTTTTTATCCCCTGCAACATACGCACACACACACACACGAACACAGAACAAAAACAGGAGAAACTAGTATGATGTCTTTCTAACTTACAATCATTTTGTGGCCAAATATTTGACTGTTTTTATTTTTTCTTGAGAACTTAGTGAAAAGTTGCAAAAAATACTTAAATTAAAGCTTTGATAATTTTCGACTGGACATTATTATGTTACACTACTGTTTGAAAAAAGAAAAGGTACCTTCTTTCATTCTACCTTAGAAACCAAAGATTTCAGAAGGTTTTTAATAGTTTTTACGATAAACGCAGAAGGTTGGACCATCTAGTAGTAGTAGTAGTAGTAGGCTAATAACTTCATACTTTATTATGGAATGAAATTTTTTTTTACTTTCATTCTTTTCTTTCCCTTTCCATCTCCATTGCTAATATTTCCATTTTTCCTAATTAGTTAGAACAGTTGCACTAACTTATCAACTATGAATAAAAATCACAAGATTTGCATGGAAATATTCTTCAATGTATGTGATACAGTCAGTAGCTTTAAGAAATAATAAAGAAATCACTATAATAATATTAATAATAATAATAACAACTGACAGCAAATAGTTTCATCAACGTATATACATATTACTTGCAAATGTACACACATCAACACGAATAAGTTAAACATCACTGACATTAGTGTTGAATGTGTTTTTTGTTTCAGTTAAAAACTATAATGCATCAATATTGCATTTTGTAGTTATATACATACATAATGACAGATAATTTAATGATTCTTTAAGTCACCTAAAACTAAAGTTGAAACAGTAATTACAGTAGAAAATTCAGTAGTTATAATAATCATTGTAGAATTGTGGGGATTGTTGTTTTGGATTGAAATTATGAAATTATTAATGTCAGGCCATCATTAGCAACTTGGAAGCACTGGACGGCCATTTGGTCTTAGTGTGAGACTCTTCAGCAGTGTGCATCTGTAGTGCCTCCACGTATATTCTAGTTCGCTTACATTTAATTTGGTCAAGCCCTTTCGATTAATTTATTTAACCAAGCCATTTGTAAAACAATAACTTATATGTACCATTGACTTTTATTATTGTGTGGTTTGTATGAGCTGGTATCACTGAGCATTGCTTAACGCCTACGCGCATATGCATCCTATTTGCTTTAATATTGATCTCTTAAATATCACGATGACTCAGACATTTTCCTATGTATATATACGAACATTTTGATCTTATTAATTCACACGCACGTTCGCCCATTCACTCGCTAGTGTTCCTGCCCGGTCTGCTTGTGGTCTGCTATCCCTATTTGTGGTGTGTATTAAAATAAATGTATTCAACACTTCGAGTTTACCTTCTGATTTATAAACCGTCAGACGCTATTTAGTAACGATTGTCTGGACGAGCTAATTACGAAGATTAAGAACACGTCGAAATTGGTCACCACACATCCACGACCCTTGCTCGCAGGAATCGAATCCAAGACCTTCTCTCTCGCTCACGAGAAAAAATTACCCAGGCAGATAATGAAAAGTGTTATGCTGGTTACTTGATATGCTTGAACCTATTAAGAGATCACCTAGGTTGATAAACGAAAACCAGAAAACTGCCCAATGACACGGTAGGCTACTCTGATCCGTCGCCCCAAACTAACTAAAAAAAAATTCTCGATATAGCGTAGAAAGTATAATCTACAAGTACCCAGAAAATATAATGATCTCAAGCACACAAATCGCGTTTATTTATACATCATAGAAACGTCCTAGGGAGAGTCACAAAAACAGCCAAGGATCTTCCTGGCAGGAAATAAAATCTCAAGGTCAAGTTATCAACCCATGTATAAAATCCAAAATTACGACCTTTATCAAGTGAGTTCTTGGGATCTAATATCCCAAAAAAAGAGTCCCATAGAAGAACGAAACCGCCGTCCAGTGCTTTCAAGTTTCTAATGATGGTCTTACAATGATCAGTCTATGATTTAAACAATAATAATAATTATGAACCTGAATAGTTAAGCAATAATAAATTAGGAAAAAGAGAATCGTTTGCGTTTTTCTTCAAACTCAAAAATGCTATTTCATTTGAAAAATTATACTGTTAATATTTTAATGTATGAAGTTTTTGTTTAGCAACATTATAGGTATTAGAAAGATTCCAAAATATCACAATCATGTTTAAGTTAGCTGATAAATATGAAGTGAAAATTTTCAATTAAACACTTAAATTTGAACTAGTTTTCCGCGGATGATATTATGTGTTCAGTTTACTATTAATTATTTTGTTCTACTGATACTTATGATTCTTAATGTAAATGTTTCACACTCTCTTATCCAATGAACTAAAGAATTGCATGTCATAGATTTGTGATTAGCAAAGTCATTACCTACTGAATTAACTTCATGTTAAAATGAATCATTTAACATGAATCATGCATACTTGAAAAAAATTAATCTTATAATTGTATGTTAAAGATTCACAATTTGTGACAACAATTTCGATGTTGGTGAAATCTGTATCAAACTACACATTGTGTGAAACTAATCTAAAATATGAACAGAATTTAAATTGTAAATGTTACAATATAGAAGTAACAGAAATTATGCTGACGTATTGTGTTTGTCTACGATTGGTTTTAATGAAATGTCTGTGGATAGATATAAGTTTCACTGTTAATATCATCCATTTTTTCAGTGGAATATTTTGTTACCGATTGCGGGATATCAGTAAAAGATGTTACATTTGACCTCATTAGTTGACATATCTTCCTTTGATTACATCAGTCCACTGGTAAATCATGCGGCATGTGCTTTAAATATTTAAAATAATTTCACATCGAAAGAAAGAAACTTGAACCTGTCACTACATATGATAAAAGCATCCATGGGAGTTCGAAGAATAAAGTCATCAATTACTGATTATTATTATTATTATAACAATAGCTAAAAATTAAGTATTCCCGGTGAAATATGGAAATATATTTCAAATTAATAAGGAAGAAATTCGGAAATATTTAAAATTAATTACGAAAGTTATAAACATAATTAACACCTGAAAATGTTAACGAAAAGATGCTGAAAGTTATCTAATTATTCATTCAATATGAGCAAAATACATAAGACAAGGTATAGCAAAGAAAGAATTAAAAACTTACGAAGTAAAATTTACTTAGAAATATAGTAACAGAACAAACAGTCGTACGTAAAAAATAGATAATCAGAAAAAGAAAGAAGAAATTGAACACAGATGACGATTACACAGTCGTCTCTCGTTGGTTGAAAGGTAGGATGCTCGCCCACCGCGCAGGAGGTCCAGGCCCGGTTCCCAGATGAAGTACACCACTTTTGATTGGTCGCGGCCAATGCTCTACACTTTCACCACAAAACACTCCCTCGTACCATCTGCAAATACACAAACACCACCACAACCCCAAACAATGAGATGAAAACCATCTCTGAATAAATCTGACCTCTTAATCAAACATCGATCGTTTGACATGAGTTAAATAACGGGAAGCTGTAGCTTAGAGAGTTCAACCATATCAGTAGTGAAACAGTCATATAAATATGACACTTGGCAATGTCTCTGTGTATCGACTGAAATGGGAAATGTTGACTACTGGACATCGTTTCTGGAACGAAACAAATGTTCATATCCCTTTGTATTTTAGCTGACCTCACTTTTGGGTATAAGTATTGAGTTCCTCCTATTAAGACAGACAGTATAGACCAAAAATATGTTAGATACGTAAAATTAGTGACTACGTGCGAATATTTCTGTAGACTGGTGTGGTTTCTTCTTTGATCCGGTTCTTATAGAATATTGATAGAACAGTGAGAAGACGTAATTGATCTGAAAAATGTGATGTATTTGCGCTATACATTTCGAACAATCTGGTCACACATATTTACCTTGGTAATCTTTAAGCCTAGGGTAATGTGACAATTTTCCTACCCCTTCTTATTCTTTTCAGATAACGTTAATTTTCTCTCTCCTTCATTTACAATTACCACCCTATGTCTATTTGAACTTTTATTTAATTGACCTTTTATTCATCTTCATATAAAATGCCTTGACAAGTAAATATGTGTGACCAGATTGTTCGAAATGTATAGCGCAAATACATCACATTTTTCAGATCAATTACGTCTTCTCACTGTTCTATCAAAAGTTATAAAAGGGAGTAATTGTTTTAAATGGGAAGTCACTTGAAACTAAAGTACACAATGATATTATAAGTTTATAATTTAGAAAATTTATTGCTGTTGTTGTTATTATTCAGACACCAAATGTTACTAAGTTTTCTTAAGGGTTTATGGGAAATTCTATTTAATCTAGTCAGATAGGGTTACACCCCAAAATATTTTATACTTCAATGTTTGCTACTGATTATTTTGTAAGTAGGTAAAAATTGACTTGAAATTTGAGGAAGACTTCAAGCATAAACCGGTGTTGTCAGTGTTGTCTTTAACAGGGTTCATTATGAAGTAGTGTATTCTATAAGAAATGTAAAACAATTAGTCCCTTTTATAAATTTTGATAGAACAGTGAGAAGACGGAATTGATCTGAAAAATGTGATGTATTTGCGCTATACATTTCGAACAATCTGGTCACACATATTTACTTGTCAAGGCATTTTATATGAAGATGAATAAAAGGTCAATTAAATAAAAGTTCAAATAGACATAGGGTGATAATTGTAAATGAAGGAGAGAGGAAATTAACGTTATCTGAAAAGAATAAGAAGGGGTAGGAAAATTGTCACATTACCCTAGGCTTAAAGATTACCAAGGTGAATTCAAGGTTATGACAAATTGTTTCTGCACACATAAGGGGGATTTTAATTTTCTAATAGCCAAGGCCTCCATAAACCTCAAAATTCGTCCTTCAACATTTCTATATTATATTTCTATATTTCCCATTACAAAGTAACAGATGCCACTAATAATTCAAACGATTTGCATAGTCGAACTTAACTTCGCTTAAAGAGTCTCTAAGATTACTGCCTAAGTCAGTCTCTAATTAAAGAATGGTTTAAGAGGCTGAGTTAATAACCACAACTTGTGAAAAAGGAATCCGTTACAAACAATTTAACCGGAGAAGAAAAATGTCTAAAGATTCAACACTAAATAATTTACGGTTATTTCTATCTACAAACTGCAGGATCGTACGAATTCTGAAAGAAGTCTCGGTTAAAGCTATGGCTGGAGTCGTGTCATGGAACCGTAAATTATTAGTTCAGTAATTTGAATTTTAAATCACAGGGAATGTTGCAGGTTTGGTATCATTACTGATTTGTAAATATATGCATATAAAACATACTAATTCCATATTTTAAGATGAAATAATGACTAGTGTTTCCAAAGTTATCTAGTTATTTGGTATTCATTCTAAATTTATTGGAGGTTCAGTCCAATGTTCCATAACGATAACATGTCGGCATGATATTTCAGTGTACGTATTTAACTACTTATAAATTACCAGTAGCTACGTTTTTGGTAACGTAATTTTTCATGGGATGGATAGCTTGATTAAAAGGAAACTATTTATCAATTGGTGTTTGTATGAGTGTGACTAATATGAATTCGACAAAAAATGTTCATAATTTTTTTAAACATGTCAAGGTGTAGAAGAGAGATAAAAGCGTCACTAAGTGGCATTCAACCAATTCGCATAAGCAAATTTCACATTACTTAAATAACAGAAATGAAACTAAATAGAAACAGGTCGAGGATTTAAAATTCATGCCCATTATCTGTTAACATGGAGTTTGTTGTTGTCAACTCATAAGCTGTTAAAATAATCGAGAAACAAAGAGAGAGTTCACTGGATTTTTTTTTAGACACCACCTAACAACGCTTTATTTTGTTACGAATCTAGTAACTTATTTGTCTTAAAATGTGTGATACTTATCATTCATTTTTAAAAGACTTCGAATAATAAATAGTAAGAATATAAAGAATTATATAATGGCTTTCATCAGAGCCTAACACTTCAGTAACTACTGACAAGTTAAATTTTTCGCTCATTGTTATTGATATTACCACTTACTGAAATGAAATATAGTAGTTTACGTATTCAAAGTTCACTTTTAGTGGCTCGATAAACTGTCATTTGATTAGATAAATTTTTGTTTGTCATTTTTTGTGCAATAAATCTTTCTCCAGGACACTTGTCAAGTGGCTACGCTATGAAAACCTGTAGGAAATTAATGATAATAATAATAATATTAATAATAATAGTGGTGATAATAATGGCTTCATTCAATTTTTTTAATAAGGAACCAGTTCAGAAAGATAAGTTTTTGACTAGGTCGATTCTTACTACATCTTCATTGTATGTTATATTTGCTAAATAAGGAATCGTAGAGCTTTTATACTTTTTCTTGCTTGCACGGATTCTACCATAAGATATACATGAAGGAATATGTGAATGGACTGAATGGTAAATATTAGATAAGATAACACTCGTCAGGAGTTTTCAAGCATTTAAATGTCTGCCCATCACCATACTCATAATGATTTAAAAAGTTTCACTACGAACTTTGCTAACCACCCTCAGCATTCTCCACGACATGGCAAAATCTTTTCTAAAAAACCTGGAAAATAATAATGTAGAACAGTAAAGGTTTGGCCGCCCCTAGCTTTGTTCCGATCTACTCCTACACTGCAAAACATAGCTCGTCGCGGCAGTCGGTGGTTAGCCATACGTACCACAACTCTCCTTCAAACTTGTAGATGTATGAAGGATGACATCAGATGACTGATGTGCAAAAGGTTTATTTAATTCATATACCTACAGCTGATTATCCTCTCCAATGCATCGACCGCCTGTGAGCTCTTTGAATAGTTTCTACATATTTGAAGAACATTTACAAGATGAGAGTTC